ATGTTATTCGTGGAGAAGGAGGAGTATTTGTTCACGGCGAAAGTGGCTATTTGGGAGGAGGTGATAGTTATATGGCGGAGGTTGCTGGAGCTATATTTGGATTGCGCAAATGTGAGCTCCTACATCTTCAGAATGTCTGCTTGCAAACGGACAATAAGGGGTTAGCGGATGCTTTGAAAAATCACTCTGGTTTCCCTGGAAGTATTTCCTGTTATTACAGGAAATGTCATCTATTATACAGAGGAATGGTTACTCACATTTGTATAGAAGCAAATTCAGTGGCTGATAAGTTGGCTAAGTCTGCATCCTTTGGTGTATCACAAATGTATCATGCTTTAGATTTTTTGCCTAAAGTTGTAAAATGTTTGTTGATTTTAGATCAGCATTCCTTCTCTTATATTCGTAGAAAGTCTAGGTGATGTAACACGGTAAGACTTATACTCTGCCATTTTCTATTTGCTAATGGTTTAATAAAATAAAGGAATGGGTGAAACTTGAAAACTAGATAGTATATATGTCCATCCCTTGGGTATACCCCTTGGGTGCATTGTGCTATCTAGCACTGGCTGGTCCAAAAATTTACCTTCTGGGAATACCCCTTGAGTTTTTTTGGATCAGCTGAAACTTGAAAGTCATCCCATCCTCAATATTCATTAAAAAAAAACATAAACCACAATATATTAAAATCAAAACAATAACAGACCCATGATCTTTTTTAAATACATTTTTACAATCACCTAAAGTATTCTATAGATAAAATTTATGGTGGGGGGAGATACACTACTAATGGAGGAAACTCTAATTGCATACGCTTATTAGCTCATGCCTCCGTGCTTGAAGCTCTCGTGGCGAAAGATTTTGATTTGACTTGATGGAGAAATTGTGCATTGAGTATTAAAAATTTGGTGAGGTGTTAAGATTTTTTAAACAAATATAAAAGTTCATATTAATTTCACTTGAATATTTTCTTATTTTTTTGGTGGAACCAGGGTAGTATCCGGCGGGGATGAAACTCTAACTCTTCAGGACTTTTACTTATATTCAGGCTATTCAAACTTCGTGATAAGTTACGATAATATTCATCCTTTTAAAACTCTACAAGAGTTCGGTGCTAACAAAATTGTAATGCACATATGGCTTATGAATACTCGCTTCAGTATTACTTATCATCCTATCATTCAAATATGATAATAAAAACAGATAAAAAATCATGTTACAAACAAACATAACATATCTAGATAAAAACAAACATAGCATATCTATTATATTAAAAAATATGAACCTTAATAACTAGACACATGAAGACATTATAACTTGCGCAAGTCCTTTGAATTAATTTCTCGAGAATTGGGATCATGTCCCTTTATTTTTAATCCTTCGGGAATTTCATATAGACGTCATTATTAAATATCACGTATCAAGTGATCACTATAATCAAGAGACTCATTTCTTTCTTCATTTGCTATCAGATTAGCAAATAACAGAAGATTTTTACTTTTCATCCACCACAAGATAAACCGGACTTTGGGAAAAACTTGTGCAACAAAGAGGTTGGTCGATAATCTTTTGCACAATTACCCACCAAAATCTATCCTGTATATCACTTGCCAAACTTCTAGTTCACAAGCAATTTCAATTCTAAGTACACATCATCAAATTTGTATTGCGTCTTTTCATTTGTTGAGTATGCCTTGCACATAGTGCAACTCTTATTGCCTCTATGAGTCTTGTGAATTTTATTAATCGCCCTGAAGAGGATGTTAGTCAATGATAAACACAAAATCAATTGTTATGGTATATTTGACTAATTAATTCACTATTTTTCTTTAGAAGGGAAATTTTATAATTTGGCATAACTACTTAAGCCATTCTGGTTTCAAGACGAAACAAGAAAGTTTATTATGTATTAAATTTGGAGAACCAAGAGTTTCTTTCAATAAATTAGAATATCAATCGATATGTCGATGAGATGGCCATATGTATGATTCTCGTTAATTTGCAACCTGAAGTTTGCAAAAATTTTATTATGGAGTTAAATTGGTAATTTGCAGATTTTCATGTTTGCTCTTACGAGAATTTTGATTTGACAATTGTGGTGAGTGTATGACTCAATACCAGAATGATAGAAGTTGAACATTGAGTGCCTATAAGAGCAATAATGAAGCGGTCTAGTAGAATCATTTATTGCATGTATTCAATTAAAGTAATTACCTCATGTATAGTTGAAGAATTGTTGAAATACAAAAGGCACCAATTATATGCATAAGACCAAACAGATCATTGCAGATATTCTCCCCAACAATGATTTTCGGTCAGAAACCATACATATCCATATTCAAAGATCACATGTGCAATCTATTTAATGTATGCATCTACAACAGACTTTCATTTCATGATCCTCATTTTCATTTATTTTACTGCTGCAGTATAAGCAATTTTCATGTCGACATTTTATTGCTAATCGATTCCATGTTCTTCGGTAATGAGATCTCACAATTATTAAGTTTTCCAAGTATTCATATACTTCTTGTGGAAGATAATTCACCATAATGAGAAATATTCTAGTTTAAAATTCTTATGAATTATAATCACTCATATTTGCTATCTCTATAGATTTAAACCTTGTCATTTACGAGGATTTTTATTATTTGGAATCGATGGTTCTACCACTCATTAAATGGATATTCAACTAACAAATAGTGGTGAGTAGTCCTATAGGGGCACATTATCAGAGTTTTGAACACTTCTAAGGAAGTTCAAAAGGTTGCTACTCGCCTGAAGCAAGGATAATGAAAGATCTTAAGTAGAATCTCACCCGTTAAGCGCACTTGATTAAACTCTTGATGTGCACTTGATTAAAATCTTGATGTGCATATAAATCCTTCTTCTTGACTTTCTATTAATGATGTAGACCGATTTGGTCCTGAAGTACCATATAAAGTTTGGATTTATCTAAATTAGTCAAGACTTGGATGGTGTATATTGATACCTTAAAGGTATGATGGTCATGCAGGTATATGAAGACAACCGTCTATATGAGAAGTCGAAGTAATCTGTCTATTGACTTAAACAATCATGAACCTGGTCAATAGCTTGGCATGCAATGAGAAGATTACAAGTGGCGTACTTAACAGGGGAAGTAACCCACGCTGTACTCTTTTTCTCTTGATCGAGGTTTTATCCCAATGGGTTTTCCTGACAAGGTTTTTAACGAGGCAGCGTCACATTTGAAAGTGTACTCTTTTTCCTTCACTAGGGTTTTATCTCAAAAGGTATTTCCTAGTAAGGTTTTAACGAGACATTATTCTGCAAAGATGGACATTCAAAGGGGGAGTGTTATGAAATAATTGATTTGATTCGATTGAATGTACATAATTAACATGTATTATTCTATTCACAATCAAGGAGATATGATTCAGTAATATTTAGCATTAATGATAGGTGATTCATTTCCCACAGTTTGATCCCCTACTTCTTGTATAAATAGAGAGCTCATTCATACTTCAAAATATATCTCTATACAAGTCTCTCATCTCTCTTTATTCTCTTGTCTTCTCTCTCTGGTTCTTATTCTTAATTTATATTAGTAATTTATCATTAATTTTATAACAGAATGTACAGAATTACTAAATAGTGTATTTTTTCACATATGATGAAATAGATTTGGATTCGGGACTGTGCACAAGTTACGAGTAAATTTGCGTAACAAGTCATAAAAGTGAGAGATGGCATGACGAGCCATTAATCAATTTACATATCTTGGGTACAAATCAATCAAAATGGTAAAAGATTACGGACTTGAAAATTTAGATGACTATAAATAATTCTTTTTCTATGTAAATGGTAAATTATTTTAGGATAATCAAAATGTTAACAACTATAAATAATTATTTTTCTTTGTAAATGATAAAAAAACTGTATTTTGGATAAAGAATCCACTTTTCTTCTTTTTCTTCAAAAAAAAAAAAGAAATGAAAAAAACGGTACACGTTACGAGTTTACCTAACAAAACCCTCTGTTTCAAAATTAATTTCTAATTTTTATTTTCACATCGGGTACAATATGAACTAAAAATGAAATCCAAATTAGACAATCATTACTAAGACCTGTTTGGTCAAAGTAGTAAGATACTTTGGTTCTCTTAAGTGAGGTCTCAGGTTCGAATCTCGTGAATAGAAGAGCTTTCCCTCCGAAAGGAGACTGACCTGGTTCGGTGCGCATTAATCTGAGTGCAATGCACTTTGGACACCCTGCGGCCTGTGCAATATACAAAAAAAAAAAAATAAAATTAAACAATCATTTCGAAATTAGAAAATCATTTTGGGACAGAGAGAATACTATCTGCTTTTTATTTTTTATTTTTGCTTCGTTTTTTTATAAAACAAAAAGTATAAAGTGAAAAGAAATTTGAAGAAAATGATAGTATTCTCTCCGGTACTTATTATAAGACATTTTGATTTGTCTAAATTTCACTTAGTATGTTGTTTTGATTTTAAAAAAAAAAACTCATTAAATTATATTTTCATATTCGTTGTTTTTTCTCAATTGAAAAAACATATTAGTTGAAACTTGCCTTATAATAAGGCTACGTGAGAGTTTTGTTTAATTAACCTTCGTTAACTCTATTTTCTTTTTTTCCCCTCCAAAACCACCTTCGTTTTATTTTATTTTATTTTATTTTATTTTATTTTTTTTAAATACGCTTTTTTGGTAGAGAAATTGTTGCTGGGCGGTTTCGAACTCGAGACCTTTGATGAAAACACCGTCGTGGGTTTAATTTTTCCAGTACCCTAAACAGCTAAACTGTAAAAAAACACACCGTTCTTCTTCCTCTTCGTGGCTCTTCTTCCTCCTTGAACCGCCACCAGCCTCTTTCCTCTCCAATGGCACATTCTCCGCCACCTCCTTTAGTCGTCCCCATAATCCATTAATCTTCATCCGAAGAAACCAAACCCTCTTTCCCGGAGCTTAAGCTCATCCAGTATAAACCCTTTGCCCTAATGGACATCAACAGACTGAGGCTTTCCCGAGTCACTACGAAGCTGTTATTTCCATCTATCAAACGCCCTTTAATCACGTCCACCTCACAGGACCATATTCAGAATTTGAATAGCCGACAAAAGCCGCCGAAGGAAATGCCTCAACCTTTGCGAGAATCAGAGAGCGGGAAGAAGACGGCATTGAGGGAACCCAGGAAAGAACAGTGGATTCATGAGGGGAATGGTGTCGTTGATGATCAGATCAATTTCGTGAAGTGGGTTAGTTCTATTCTTTCGAAAGAACGTCTGGATATGTCAAAATGTAGAGATTTGTTGATGTCGAACCGTTTGAGTCCTCTGCAATTTGAGGGTGTTTTTGACAGCATTCATCATTCTGTCAACCCTTTTACTGCTTTGAGGTTTTTCTATTTTGCTTCGAATTCTTTTGGTTTCAGCTTTACGGTTAGATCCTACTGCATTTTGATTCGCTTGCTTCTTCTGTCCAATCATGATGCGGCTGCTCGGTTGCTTTTGATAAAGCTGATAGATGGTAAATTTAGTACTCTTGGAGGTAGCTTGAACAGTAATGATAATGGTTCTAGTGTTCAGCATTTGGAGCTTGCGGCTGTATTTACTGATTTAAATTTGGCATCGCACAATTCTGACCTTAGTGTTAGGTTATGTGACTTGCTGGTGCATGTTTATGCTTCTCAATTTAAGAGTGCGGGGGGCTTGAATGCATCTTTGGATTTGCTGCGCGTTTTGGCTGAGAAGGGGCTGTTCCCCTCTCTGAGAACTTGTGTTTTTTTGTTAAGTTCCCTTGCCAAGGCATATGAATTTCAGAAGACATGTGAGGCATTTGATATATTATGCCGAAATTTTGTTCCTGATGTTTACATGTTTAGCATCACCATCAATGCATCTTGTAAACAAAGAAAAATCGAGGATGCAATGAGGTTGTTTAGGAAAATGGAAGCTTCAAGCGTTCCTCCAAATGTTGTTATATATAATAATCTTATTCAGGGTTTGTGTGAGACTGGCAAGATAAGAGAGGCTTTTGAATTTAGGGAGAAAATGGTTAACAATGGTGTTCCACCTAGTCTGCTTACATACAGTATACTAATTAATGCTCTGGTAAATGCTCAGAAATTAGATGGAGCTTGTTTTCTTCTGAAAGAAATGATTGACAAAGGGTTGATTCCGAATGAGATAGTTTATAACACTCTGATTAAAGGTTACTGCAAAGTAGGAGATATGCACTCAGCATTAAAGTTAAAGGAGGCTATGTTATGTCATGGTCTGGCTCCTAATTCAGTTACACTTGCTTCTCTTGTTATGGGCTTGTGCTTATCTAAGCAAATTGATCTTGCTGTGCAGCTTGTAGATGATAAATTATTTGAAGGATTGTCCTTGAGTGCTGGTGCACTCACTTCCTTGATTCATGAGTTATGCAGAGAGTCAAAGTTTCAAGCTGCTTTGCGATTCACAAGGGAAATGATATTGAGAGGTTTACGGCCAAATGACCCATTACTTACTAAATTAATTGAGGGTCTTTGTGAGGATGAGAAACACTCAGATGCAATGGAGCTTTTGTTCTTGCTGTTAAGGAAAGAAGTGACTCCCAATGTAATAACCTTAAATGCTCTTATTCATGGGCTGTGTGAAGCAGGACAGATGCAGGATGCTCTTTTGGTTCTAAAAGAAATTTTGAGTAGAAAGTTTCAACTGGATAGAATTACATTTAACTCACTGATATATGGGTGTTGCAAAGTTGGGGATGTGGATCAGGGCTTTCAGTTAAGAGAAGAAATGGTTAAGTTCGGGATTTCACCAGATATTGTAACGTACAATTTGCTGATTCATGGACTTTGTAACAAGGGAAAGATTAGTGATGCTTTGAATCTTTGGAGTGAAAGTGAGAAGAATGGCCTTGTTCCTGATGTCTATACTTATGCCATCATGATACATGGGCTCTGCAAATCTGAAAAACTTGAAGAGGCTAGGATTTTATTCAATGACTTCCGACGAAATAATGAGTTGAATTCCATTATATACAATATAATCATTGGAGGCTGTTGTAGAAACGGCAACATGACAGAAGCAATTGAACTAAAGGAAGAAATGAGAAGCAAAGGAATTCTGCCGACACATAAGACCTACACCTCTCTTATACATGGAATGTGCACTATCAGTTGCATGGAGGATGCTAGATGCCTTTTTGAGGAAATGAGAGCAGAACATTTGCAGCCTAATGTTGTTTGTTATACTGCATTAATTTGCGGTTACTGTAAGCTAGGCCAGATGAAGGAAGCTAGGAAACTGATGCAAGAAATGTTCTTTCAGGGTGTACACCCTAATGAGATAACTTACACGGTGATGATTGAAGGGTATTTTAGACTAGGTCATGAGAAGGGGGCAAATGCACTCCTTGCTGACATGATGAAAAAAGCAATAACGCTAGATTATGTCATTTATAGTATACTGACAAGTAGGTTCTGCAAACAAGGAAAAATTGTAGACGCCTTGAATGTGTGCGATGAAATGGTGCAACATGAGTTAACAGTGGATGATTATGTATATGGTTCCTTGATTGGCCAATTGCATCAACCTTCAGCAGTTAAAAGAGGCTGAATGAATTCCTTTATGCTGGTCTTCTACACACTTGTTTGTGTTCTGCACGAAATTCTCCATATATGTGAGTATCTAAATTTTAGATAACACTTCTGCATTGATTGATTATTCTTCATGTGTTGAAACAGTAACATTACATTGTTTATTTTTGACAAGTATGGGTAGATGAAAAGGACTAGCTTTTTTTGTATCTATAGGAGCTATTCTACTGTGTTCCGGGGATGAATTATCTTGGGCTTTTGATGGGGAATAACTTTGCATAGAGGTTGAGTGCACTGTGGCGCAGAACAGGTAAGTAAAATTGTGAAACATACAAAAAAAATGTCGATTTTCACAACTTCTTTCCCTTCAAATTTATGTTCTTTTCATGGCCCAAGCACATTTGTTGAAGGAAAGAAATGGATGATCTTGAAAAAGTTGGGCGTAGTTTTAGTTTGTAATAAGTTGAAAGATGTATGAAACTTTTTATGGAATACTTGATTTCTTTCTTCCTTGCGTTCAAGATATATATTTCAAATGAATACTAAAGGGCATCTCTTCTGTTGCTTCGAATTATTGCAGAACATGAGCTTCGTATTTGTTGTTAAATGCCTTCATGGATATTAAGCAACTTAGAAGGGAATGGAAATGAGTTGGTCAATGATGAATTTATCAGTTCTGCAGACATGGATGATGTAGAATGTTCACCTCAGGTCATGCATTAGGTACCTGAACAAGACTCTCTCTCTGGCAAAATGTTCATAGGCACGGGTTTTTGTATGCTTGTGTTAAACTTTCCTTTTAATGAGGTGACATTGTTTCATAATACAGATTCTTCAGTAATAGAGTCTTTCAGTTGCACCACAATCAGATCATAATTGGTTTGCTGCATGGAAGTCAAAAGGTGTAAAAGGTGCCACACTTGGTTACAAAGGGCTCGCTATGAAAGATTGAATAGCAGTCAGAAGTTGAAAGGACAAAATCAGACTTCTATTTGAAAAGCTGCTGAAGTTTGTTTGTTATGTACTGATGATTGTGTCGCTAATGGTTAACTATGACCAAATATGACGCTTTTCAATCATTACTGATAGCTTCTTCATGGTTAAGGACATAAAATTATCATCTGATTTTCAGAATTCTGTTACAATTATGGAGGATAATGATTTAACCATGAAGAAGGGTGTCTCGATGGGAAGTGCTTGATTGTCATCTGCAACATAAGGAGATGAAGAGTGCTGGTAAGGGGCGTGATGATTCTTCAAGTTCTATACGTGTTGCTGTCTGTCTGCTAGATGACTGTTGTATTCACATCCAGAGGATTTCAAAAGTAAAAAAAGCCTTCTGATGTAGAGCCTGATAACCCCAAGTCACTGGCAATCAGTCAGAAATCTCATGCAAATATTACAGAGTGTCATATCTGCAACTGATGACTATCTACTCGGATGGCCGACCGACCTTTTATGCTGCTGAATAGTTTTGAAGAAAATCTGCCGCGTTACTCACTGAAAGTTATTCTTGTGGATTGGTATGTATTGATGCACTTGCTTTTTGGACTGCCCACCATTGTAGATGTTGATTACTGAATTTATAATTGCTTTCTTCTGGCAGGGAAAGAAGATGATAAACTTGATGTCATTCTGTGCTCAAAGTTCTGATGTTGCTATTTAAGTGGATAGACGGTTTACTGAAGAAAAAGGCTGATTGAGCTAGTGATTTAATTCCGGTTGCAGCCTTGCTTGCCTTTTTTGTTTACGACCAATTGGCGGTAGTGACAAAAATGCCATTTTTGTTGTTAGAAAGAAAGACTGTTTCCAGTTCAAATGGAATTATCAAAAACTCTTTGTGTGCACTTGTCCTTGTCCTACTGGCAATGATGACAGAACCAAAAGAACCGCGACGAGAGTATGGATGCATGTGATGACATAGGTTTTCATGATATATGTGGGAGGGTTCTTCAATCTATAAAGGGAAGGGTTAATTCGATTATTGTTCCTATTGGTGGCATGCAGTCTGGTGTATGCAGACATACATCTGTACTTTTGGAGGTACTTTTGCTTCTGCGGCATTTCTTATTCCTGTTATATGAGGTGTTAATGCAAAAGCTAATTCTCAGTTTGAGGAGACCTAGTTTCCTTTTACGGTAATACCTTTGCGAGAGGATCAAACCTTCAATACACTGTGAACTTGTTTGTGGCTACTTGGATTTTTCGCCCCATGCCCTTAGGCTACAAAGAGAGGCCAGTATTTTTGCATGCCATCCACATGACATAGTAGAGGAACCAGATCCCGAGTATCTTCGTAGGTTTTGTAGTATATTTTGAGAACATTCTTATGGTATAATACTTTCTAGAGTTGGAGTTGTTCATACTGTTCTATTCATTATGCTTTGAATCTTTAATAAGTTTCGTTTGGAGCGGTGGATTGGAGCTGCTGTCAGTCATAAGATTTCAAGTTTCATGTATTGATCTTATTAGAAGGGGAGGAGGAGGACCTAAAAGTACTTGGAAAGGAACTATTATAAATGTCAACCCCACATAGCGGGATGATTCTTGTTGTATTCATGTATTAATTCTGAAATGTTCCAAGGTTCTTACTTTTAGTTCCCTTTCTATTGGACTGTTTAAATGTAGATGTCTTTCATGCACTGATATTCTTAGATCTTGACTATGTTCATTCTAACTAAGCTACGTAATTTAATTTATTTTGGGATGATGTTTGAAGGAACTTTTGGATCATATAATAATTTTTCTTTTTGTTCACAACGCCAAGTCATGTTATTTTGAGGTGCCTATTGTGATGATTGACATTTTCCTTTCAGGGCTGTTCCTTTAAGTCGGATGACTACATCTTTTGTCACTGATACAGAATTCCCTGCTCTTGCTATCTCAGAGCAACTTGCCAGGACCGCATCTAATACTGTCCTGGAGTGTCAAATGGGATGAATTAAAGCTGCAGCAAAGGTTTGTGTTCCTTTTTTCCTTATTAGTTTCTTTCATGGCTGTTTTCATGTATTCCTGTGGTCCTCGGTGGCCCAATAATAAGGAATATAAAGTTGACATACATTTTCTCTGTTCATTAAGGATTTCCTTTGTTTCGGCTCTGAATGTGTTGCTCGTCAACTGAATTGCACTGATTATCCATTGCAAGTAATTGAAGCTTAGTGTGGATAAGTTTCTTTCGCTCAGCAATACAACTCACATATACGATGTGTTCCGTGTTGCAGGTGCTTATACTGTAAGTATGCGGGACTTTTAAAGGCAATATCAGGAATTTTGAGTTCTCTTGTTTAGGGGAAGTCAGAATGTTGAGTTCTTTGACGCATTCTTGCATCGTAGTTTCAAGTCTGAGCTAAATGGGTTTCATCAATGAATGGAAACTAGATGTCCGCCTCTTGCAATCGGCCATATCTATGGAGTACATAATAGGTTCCTTGCAGGTAAATGATTCCTTCTGAATTTTTTTAACGAGACCCAAAGGAAGTGTACAACAGTATGACCAATACGACATGATTTCGCATCGAAATTTTGACATTGAAAATCCCCTAGTGTGATCTAGAAAATTTTGTCTTGTCCATTTAAAAGGAAAAAATAAAGGTAAAAGCTGAAGAGAATAATTTCTATTTCTTTATTTCCCCCCCCTTTTCAATGATGGATAAAAATTCTTGCATTTTCGTTTAGTTTTATAATTTTGGAGTCAAGTTTAATATCAAGATTTTGTTCACTCACAATGTCTATTGAGCTTTAAATAAAAGCCTCACACATATTATTGCTTATCTGGACTGCTGCGTCGAAGAAAGCCCAATCGTTATGGGTACAAGAGTCTCCAATTGAACACAGGTTTTAATAGGGGAAATCTTGCAGCTTAAGAATAAGTTTTATCAGTGTAATATCATTAAGGTTTGAAGTAACATCTTATAGCCTCTTAGCAATCACGGTGAAGTGTCAAGTGAATATATATATATATATATATATATATATATATATTTAAATTGGTACCTGATATTAATCGGAAGTACATATGCAATTACATTGACAAACATTATAAGCCATACTATGTAGGTCGCTAACATCATTTCTACTAACTTTGATTAGTTGGCAGGACTCAAAAGATGAAATTAAAACTAATAATAAAGCAATAACTTCTTGGGCTTCTGTCGGCACAAGGATAGACCTTAGATCAATAGATAATAACTCACAATCAGTGTAAACCTTCACACAATTCATTCCAAGTTGTGAAGCCTTACGGAGAGCAACGAGACAAGTCATGGCCTTTGCTTGGAATGGTGATAATACCTGGAGAAGGGTCGCCTTGATTTGCATTATAGCTTCCCGAGGTAAATTATAGCTCCCTGAGGTGAAGTAATCTTCCATGCTGCCATTGTATGCAGGTGAAAGGAGCCATCAAAGTGAATTGAGACATCTAAAACTGAACCTTGTTCTGCTGGAGTGACGAGCTCTACATTAGAATTTTGAGGAGCTCTACATTATTATAATGTAATATTTTCATCTTAAAAAAATTAAAAAAAAAATCTAGCTAAGAAGTTTTTGGCGCTGCTTTGATTTAGCCAGTTATTTCTGCAAAATCATATTTCAAACCTCTTTAATCTTCTGTTAGAATTGAAGACTATTGATAGAAGTTGGAGCATGTAGTTTTCGGGGCCTAACAGTATTATAGTTTTTGTGCAACTTGAGTCCTGTCCTGAATGACAGGACTGGTGAATTGATTTTAATTTCATGTGATTCAAACAGAAATACGGCCACCACTAATGGAAGAGCTGCAAGGATTGATTGATTCCGGCCAGGAGTTGTATGATCCAGAATGATGGCGCAGTTAGAACAGAGCTCGAGAATTCAGAAATCAAATCCAGAATGCTGAAATTTCTTGTTTGGACGTGCAATTGGCTTACACAGAGACCCTAGAGACCCTCGTCCAAGTGCCAATAAGTTTCACAAGTTGCTTGCATATACAAGCTTAAAAAGTGTTTCATTCGTAACCTAAAAAAGAAGGCGTTTCCTTTGTCC